CGAGTGCAGCAAGTCCTCCCGCAGGATGGGGTACCTCTGTTACAGAAAAGCAAAGAGCAAGTAACTGCTCAGCACAACCCAACACTTCTGCAACCGCTTGGCTCACGCAGGTACCCCATCCTGCGGGTAGGATGCGGGCAGAGCAGAGCGGTGAGGAGCAGGCTGCCATACAGCATCCTCCAAGCTGGGTTTTGTAGACACCTGCAGCAACTGGAAAGCAAAGCCTTTTGTACGTTAGTAAGTGGCACCAAAACATGGCAGAGGTACAGGAGCAGCAGCGGCTGTAGGCACTGAGGAGGCTCGATAAACACGCTTGGTCCTACACATTTCACGCTGCCACTCGTTCGCCACGTGCCCACACATCTGTGGTTTGGCACCGTGAGTGTTCAGCCATCCTCTTACTGAGCTCTGGGACTTTTCGCATGGTAGAGCGTTGGTTTTTTGGTTTGTTTTCCTATTTTTTTTTTTTTTTTTCTGCAAAGGAAACAGCAAAGATTTAGGAAAGTTCCACCGATACATAAAGTTCCCAGGGAGCAACGTTTGCCTGCTTGGTGAAGAAGCGATGGGTGCTGGTAACAGCAGCTCTAGAGAGCTGTACCAATTCAGGAGCCTAATTGAGGGGTCTGAAACAACACTTGAGGCTCTGAAGAATTTAATTCCACGACTGTTGTTTAGCATAAAACAGCTTCCCCTCCCAGCCCCAAACGTTTTAAACCATGAGTTTTTAAAACCTTTTTTAAATAAACATGTGCAAGGAGTAATTTTTCTCCCACAGATGATGCCGTGCACTCCTGCAATGACTACACAATGCTATTTTCTGGTTTTGCTTTTATCGACGCTCAGCTTTAACAATAAGGAAATTCTAATAACATCATGATTATAATTAAGGCAACTCTAATGGGATTTTGTGGACTGTGATTGGCATCCCAAGTACGGCATCAGACAGAAAGGGGAGCGTACAAGGGACGAATATTCAGGACACCTTCAGAATTAGCAACCATTTGGGTAATTATAAAGCTCCATTTTATAAAGAACCACGAAACAAGATTAATTTATAAATCAGTTTATTTACAGATTTTGTTCTCTTAAAGTACATTTCAGTTACCAAAGATATTTACAGTGGTGTACACAGGGATCACCCTGGTTATTTTACAGTTCTTAATTACAAAAAAACCCAACCCTCCACATCCTTGGGTCTGTCTACTGTGCAAAGCTGCTCTGGATGTGAACATTAGCTGAAACTGGCCCAAAACCCAAGTTATCAGGTTATTTACACATACACAGTAAACGGGTTTGTTTTCAGCATCTCCACAACACAGTACACACAGGGAGACGGAACCTCCCAAAAGGCGGCTTTGCAAATGTGTATCAAAAGGCTCTGCAAAGTCAAGGAAAAAACTAGTAAATGCAGGTTAATTACAGTATTCCTCTTTCATCTGTATATAATTTTGCATTTAACATTTAAATTACAAATAAGTTCAATAGTTTGCTTCTCTCCGTTTTAGTTGATTTGTAAACACTTCAGATGCACTAAATACCTTATAAGATTCAACTGTTTCTCTGCTGAAAAGTACTTTATTTTCCTAATATTCTTAAGGTAGCAAAGGGATATGGAAGTGGAACTGCATGCAGTTCCTCGCAGAATAGTCACCTAAAAGGTCTCTATCACTGTGCTACTGAAGATCTTCTGCAGGTACACACTTATTCAAGTATTGCAAAAAGCTAAGGCCACTTTTTCAAGAAAGGAAAGTGAACAAGACGGGATTTTTCAACCCCTCATTCGACCTTGTGAGCAACAAGCCTTTTCTGAAAGGCAGAAGTACTGATGTTCCACAGCTCGGCTCAGGGAGCATCCTGCTGTGAGAGAGGTACTTGCGTTCCTTGTCCTCACAAGCCTGGGCTTTCCCATCTGGCACCGAGATCCTTCCAAAGAGGTAACTGCATCTCCCCAGTGATGACAGCCACTGCCCCAAACAGCTTATGGGTGTCAGAAAAATGTCTCAGCCTTGAATCTTCTAACATGGTTGCACCAAGATAACCAGGACCCAGAAACATCATCTTGTTCTTATAACGGGAAGGTTGGGGAGAGGAGAGAAATAGAGAATTCAGCCTCTGTTTGTGAGACTCCAGGCTTCCCCATACCTCTTCGTTACCAGCTGCGACCCAGACAGACCATTGCTTCATTGCCATAATCATCAGTCCACAAGTACTCAACACACTCGAGGTTTTGAGTATACACTCAACTCAAAGCAACTCAACACACTTGAGGTCTTGAGAAGATAATTCACATACGTTCAAGTCTTTTTAGGGTTGCTCCTAGTACGGATTGCTACCAAAAACAAACGGTGATGTTCGCAAAGGAATAAAGCCATTATTTAGACACAGCTTCCTTCTGTCCAAACAGCTATAAAAATAATTCCTGCTTCTGTTGAGGCTACTAAACTAGTGCTATCCAAGCCAGCAAGACAACAGGCATATGATCTCCAGTGGTCCCCGCTACCTTGGCAGGTCAACTGCACAACCTTCTTCCTGCTGGTGGACAGACCAGAAAAGCCATGCCAGCCCCGCAAAACAGCCAGAAAGCCTCGGGGATGCAGGGCAACCTTCTTAACACCAGCCATAGTATCTACAGAACAGAAACTTAATTTTTTTTGATACTTCAGCTACAAACCTACGCTGCAGGTTTCTGCCTTCTTTCCATAATTGCTACCTATAAAAAACTGCAATCCTCGCTATTGAAACAGATACACCCAGGAAAGGGAATCTGAGGTGGTGACCCAAACAGTGACACCATGCTGGTTAAATGTAGCAGCTTTAGTTTGCTTCTATCTTAAGCATTCAAGAGTTTCCTGGTTCAGCATCATGATGTATTTTACATGGACAAGTGAATCACTTCAGGGGAAAAAAAGCGGAACAACGCTCCACCAAGACCATTTGATTTCCAGCTAGTCAGAAGGGCCACTACAGCGGGACAGACACGCATACGCCTGTTGGAGGTGTTCCTATACACCATTACCTCCTCCTCGTCCTTCCACTCATTAAGCTCCCATGAATATGTCTCACCATTAACTCACAAGTGAGGCGCTGGCAATACTACATCTGAGAATCTGCATGGACCTCTGACAAATCCAACATTTCCCAGTGCTGTCCCTGAAGAATTACCAGCTGTGTGTCATTGTGCAAACTGCAAATATTCCAATGATAGCTTTCTCAAGAAAAAAAAAAAAAAAAAAAAAAAAGGTGGAAAAGAGAAAACAAAATGGAGCAGTAGCAGAGGTATGCATAGCAGGAAGCCCAAGAACCAAGCAGATGAATGAGATAAAGATCTCCCTGCCATGCCTATTGTGGGCTGCAGCATCTTAGGGGCACCTCGGAGGGCTTCAAAGCGTCTTTCTGCACTCCAGTGTGCCTGAAGAATCTGACTCTCCTCTGGGTCTTGTCCCAGGTTAGCAAGCAGGGACATCCACTATTAAGGCATCAACGTTTAACCTCAGACTGTGTTCCTCCAAGAAAAACGTAAGAATGGGAGGGACAGGTTAGGAACAAGCACTCAGCAGAAGGACACTGCAGTTGAATCCAGCACCAAATCAACTATGTAATAGCTGCCCATGGCCTAGAAGTTCCGGCAAAGGAAGGAAACACATGGAGTAGGGAAGTTCTACCTAATTTTTCAGCTCAGTTCCCTCAACTCTTCATTGCCACCAAACCAGGTGCAGCGAAGCTCCATTCCTAGTCCTGCCTTTGCTTCCCACCCCTGGTCACTGAGGTTTGGTTCTTTTTACCTTCCCCACCCCATATCTGCCTCAAGAAGCTGGAGGTTTTGTGCTAAAAATACGGGGCTCTGGAAATTTCCAGAACAGGTGCTTTCTCAAGTTTGGCTGTCTCAAAACAGAAGACAGTGCAGCCAACTGCACAGGACATTCTCCTATCACCCACTTAATAAATTACCTGAAAATAAATAAAAAAACCTACAAGCACAAAACACGCAGACAGTCAAGCACTGGACACCGCTTTCTTTGGTGAATACACTCTGTTCTCTAAATTGTTCAAGTAACAGCTTCTCCAATTTATTAGGTGACAGTAAGAGAGGAAGCTGAGGGATTGAAGGCCAAATTTTTGTGAGGAAAAGTTTTCCACTCCTGCATGTCTTGTGCCTGAGAAAATCCTGAGTATCCATTATCTGGGAGCAGCTGGTGCTCCAGGAAGAGAAGTGCTACACAATAGGAGGAAAGTTGTCCATGGGCTCACCTTTCATGCTTGACATTAGGTGGCCTTTATCTTGCTCCACCTTGAGACAGAAGCAAGTTACATTGGAAAAGCAGCAAGAATTCTTTACTTGAATGCAGGAAGCAACATCACCTAATTTCCCTGGACTGGATGGCACCATACTTGGTACCACATCACAGAACAAAGATGAAAACCAGCTTCACAGAGAAGGGAATTGAATGGGCTCTGGAGCATAAGAAACTGATGCACATTGTTAGGGCTGCAGGAGAAGAGGTGTTAAGATTATAACACTGTTCAGTACATTAAGTCTCCATTTATGACTAAAACCTGACCAAACCGTTTCTTCTCCAAATTACTCACATTTCTAAAGACAAGCCAAGTACTGACGGTTGACAGCCATTCCAGCAAACAGCTGATACCCCAACTTAACCCAACCCTTTCAGAGAACAAGCTGAACATGTCAAAGCCCCAGGCCGGGGCCCCAGACAGCTGCTGACAGTTACGTGGCATAACTGCACTGGCACACAAACAGTCTTGAGCACTCCACAATACAGCCTCCAGTGAAGGATCAGCTTGTTCCAAACCATAAATCCAGCGTGAGGTCTCTAGTGGCAGCAGATGCAAATTCAGGTTCCTTTCATCACATCTGAACGGCCTTTAAACCCCCCGCGTGGAAGTCCAGCAGCAGCGCTTGCAGGGAGAAGAGTACCTCAGGAGTCCTAAAGGCCTGTGACTCGGTGGTTAACACAGCTCTCAGTTTATTGTCAGCACTGTCAGACAAGCAGCAGTCTCCGCTGTTTCTCATTTATCTCGTTCAGTACATCAACAGTGTCTCTGATTAAGGCCTCGAAGATCCCGTCTGCCAACTGCATCTTTACACACAGTTCATCCTCGTCATAGTTCACCCACTGTGCTTCTTCCTCGTGAAGTTCCTGCACCTTGGAGGGTAGAAAGGAAAAGGCAAGACAGACATTACAATTCTGTTGCTCTAGGACAATATCCTCTGCAGAGTTCCAGAAAGAGTCCAGAACAGCATGCATCTGCCAACAACATATCTGTCTTTGTAAGAGACTACAGGAAATACTTGGAATAGCAAAATAAACACAGATCTATTTGAACTAGTCTATTTCACTGTATGAATGTTTTCTACCTTTCACTGTAGTATCCATTTCAAGGGATTTCATATTCCTGCACAAGGTTTTCACTTGGAAGAACTCAGATAAGGGGATATTCTTGGCCAACAGCAGAAGCCCCATTAAAAGAGTCCCTAATTGCATATCTGCAAGAAGCTGACTCCCTGCGGCTTAAACTGGTAAGAAGTCATGCAAAGTCCTTGAACAGGGGAATATGAAAAAGAAAGGACTTTACTGCAGTTCAGTTCATTTGAATAAGAATTAGAAAACCTAAAGGAAATAACTAACTTTTCCAATTCTGTATAAAAAGACAAAATGCTGGCATGTGTTGTATGATAGTATTACAACTCATTTGCACGGAAAACTCCACTCTTTGTTGCATTTGAGAGCATTATTACAAATGGAATTTTGTACCATTATAGCTAAAAGAGTAACTCAAAGAGTGTTTCTTTCTTTCTATTCCTAAATTATTGACAAACAAAGTCCTGTTTTACTGGTCACTGGTAAACAGTGTTTTAGCAATAGACAGAAGTATGTAATTCCATTCAGCAAATCAAGTCCTATCAAGAGTCTCTCCGAACTGGACATCTCCACTTAAAACTTCTTAAAAACTTGTCTTAGTGACTATTTCAGTATTAAACACATCCTAACAAAGCTCAATTTTCATCTGAAGCTGAAC